TTATTGGGGTGTTTATTGTATGAATGTATTAATTTAGCTTAATAAGGGCGCTGTTTGGAAACGTACTCGATAAGAAGAAAACAATGGCTCAAGACAGTCAGATGTGTGCAATCACTTGAGAACTGTTAAGGGACAAAGCCAGAACTGTTTGCTTTGATGATTCTACCTCCACCTCAGGACAATCTACAAATCTGGTGGACACACGATACACAATATATCCCATGTATACTTCCAAAAGCAAAAATAGAGGTTAATATATCTTTTTTCTCCTGCTCAGCTTTGGGTGGGACTTTGGCTAGCACAAAGCTGTGTTTGAAGCTCAGTTATGCACATACAGCTGGGGGGAGAAGGGGGAAATCTATACCAAAAAAAAAAGGAACCTCTGGTCACAGTCACATTCAGAACTTCTGTGTATATTTTTATGACCCAGTCCTGCTCCCTTGGAAGTCTATGGGACTCTTTGATTTCACCAGTAGCAGGTTTGAGCCCATATTCAATTAAAGAAAGAAAGAGAAAGAAAGAATAGAGCTGAATGCAATTTCTAACTTTCTCTTTGAAAATTTCCTTACAAAAATGGAAATTGGTGACATGTAATATATTTCCAATATGCAAGCTCACTGAGGGCCAGACTCTGTGACCCTTATCGCTGGGAGTAGCAAGTAAGGTCCTACTACTTCTGAGTAAGGGAGGCAAGATCCGTCCCCAAATATAGAGAAAATCGCTTCCCTAAAAAGTGACTCACTTTTGCTTAGTGCAATATTCTATGAAATACTAAACCAAGTGCAATGTAAAATGTAATTGTCACTTGACGAAACCGAAGAAAGAGTTTATGCTGATATCTTTGCTTTTGTTGCAAAAGTGTTTCCACAGACCCTGGTGTAGCCATAGATTCATTGCATCCCACGGCTGTTGCTGGATCTATTGCTTGGGAAGAGAGATCTGGGAACCACCAGTAAAAACTTCCCATTCCCAGTTAACTTTGCCACCAGCTACGTGCACTTTTAAAACATTCCCCTAACCCTCCCTCTCCGTATTTCACACAAATGCACTTTGCAGACATCTCTAATGCCCCTCCCCACTCCCCAGTCCATTTATTAGTTGAGAAAATAACCTTTTACAACATTTTTAAAGTCAGTAAATATAGCTTGCAATCAGGAATACTTCTTGTTTAATTATTAATAATATTAGAAATAATTGATATTAATATGGGAGACCACCAGACACTAATTTAACCATAAATTTCTTTATTAAGTCTAAAGGCCAAATAGTATTTTAACATGCCTCTAAACATGCCTGTCAGCCTTAAAATAAGCAGTCACTACGCCCAATACAGTAACAAAGTATTCATAAGCATACGATCACTTACAAATAGGCCAGACCTAGGAAAACCATCTAGTCCAGGTGTCTACAAGCATGATCAGGTGGTAGGGTGTGACAAAGAACCCTCAAATTCATAACTCTTTTTATATCCTTCAAAAGAACAAATGCTGCCATAGCCAGTTATCACATTAGCTAATGGCTAATTTGAGACAGTTCACCCCAATTTTCAGTTTTAATCCAGATAAGGTTTACAACCTGCTTTCGCCCGAGATCTTTGCTCCTTATCTCTTCTCCTCCTCCCTACTGTCCAACAGCTTTTTCATTAAACTTGGGTTCACCCAAGCTTTACTTTTAAGATCAAACTGGGTATGTGGGGTGGAAAGGTCCAGGCTGGCTCCTTTGCTTTATTTAAAACCATCTGCAGTCAACCCTGTCAGTCAGAGGCATGCTTTTTAGAAATTTCCTTATCTCATTAATTATTTTTTGAACCAGCCATCCTGCCTACTCCATGTCTTCTGGCCTTATTATTTTCAAGGCTTTCCTTCTATTTGCTAGTCAGGGCTTCTTTATAACACAATATATTCTTAACCAAACTTAAACCAACTCTAATTCTTTAATTTTTTATTTATGCTACACTTCAGTACATGTTTAGATTAAACATCCCAGAAAATGAACTTGACACAAAATACACTTAAGAATTAAGAAAGTGAGATATGCATAGAAATGAGAAATTTTTCTTAATAGGAAACATACCAGTAATTCGTCCTAGAAAAGCCAGGATCACCAAAAAATACATTCTTCTGAGAGGAAGGGTTGCAAAGGTTTCCTCTTCTTGGTTTTGTCTCTAATTCTAAAAAATTTCTTGTGAAGAGAGAGGAAAGCGGAAGTTCAGTGATCACAAGAAAAAGTAACAGAAACAGATCATGAGAATTACAGCACTGCCCAACTGCAAGATATGCTGTTTATTTTAGAGTTGGAGACACTTCCATCACAAACAACCCTACTGTCATTCAATGATGACACAGGTAATTTATATCTTGGGAAATTAAGTCTAAAGACTAGAGGCTCTTAGGCAGTGGGAGAAAGTCTTCCCTAGAAAAGACAATCTCAGGTGCCCACAGTAATTTGCAATCCCCTGTCAATATCAGTGGTGTGACTCCTGCAGTGTACCAGGATAGTGTAGGCCTTACTCAGTGGACAAATGTCAGGTGAAATGGAAGCTAGTTTAGCCTTCCACTTATCAGGGATTCCTTTGGGCCTAAGCCATCATCTGAAAAGCAGCTCCCTAAGGTATGTGAATCAAAGATACAGCAGTCGCTGAGTCACTAGCTGGTTCTTCTGCCATGCCCCAAGGAAGACATCCAAACAGAAAGCACCATTTGGGGAACAGAGACCACGTGAGGGCAGAAAGACTCCTTCATAAGCCTCCACTACATCCACAAGGGTAGTGGGTGTGAAAATCAGAAGAGAAGGTGAGTAGGGCCTGTGAACAGGCAGTGTATGCCACTCCAGCTCCTTTTGCACAAACTGCTGCACTGGTCCTTTCACATTTAAGGGGCAAGGTGATACCACCAGTTTGTGAGAAGTAACATGACTTTATTCCCCTCCAATAAATGGAATTAACTCTTCTAATCAAAAATCTGTTTGTCTTGTCTTCAGAAATGCAAGCTCTTTGCGGGGGAGCTAGAAAAACCACAGTCTGTCTGACCAAGTTGTGCTGAGGGTGGGAGGACATCACAGGTAGTTCCCTAATCCACTGTCAGTGAGTATGGCAGCTTGTCTGGGCAGTAGGGATTGCTGGGAAGTCTTGCCAAGGTCCCCTGGAGTTCTGTTGGAGATTGTCTTAGACATGGGTTTCTTTGGAGCTTGAAGCCTCAAGAAGCAGCAAAGTTCAATGTCAAGTGTTAAGTATTTATGTTGATGTTAAGTAAATCTTTTAATCTGTGAATGCAGTAATGGTTTCTCATATGTGTATATAGGGGTTGCGTATATCGCATTGTATTAAGTACGAGGTGAAATTATATCATTAAGACTAAAAGCCTTTATGGATGCAGGACCTCTATATGCTTGTTACATTGAAACCGCTGTATTTCTTGTGTGTGTTAAGATATCCTATGTAATCTGTGTCTTTTATTTTATTGCACTTCTCTAATTCCTTAATGTAATTCTATTGCATTTTCTATGCTCTATGTATCCTTTCTTGCTTCATTTACTACATTGTAACCACTTATTTCCTTTAAATAAATAATTATTTTGTTTTCGAAGAGTTACTGCTTGTGTGTCCATCCTTGAATGGAAGGCTGTATACTTGTCCTTTCAGAAGTCAGCAAGATTAGCCTGCTCTAGGGAGCCCTCTCCGGGTCAGAGACAAGCCCCCTGGTAACACTCTGGCAATTCCTTTAGGGCGAGCCACAATCTTGTTTACCCCTTTTATTAAAATTAGACAAAGTTGTAGGTAACTTAATTAGTGTCTAAAGTTTTGGGTAACAAAGCCTCCCCATGCTGCCGGAAGTCCTGTAGTGCTATGAAAACCTCCCCGTACTCCCAGAAGACATTGTAGCACTATGGAAGCTTCCCCAGACCTCCACACGCCATCATAGTGATAGGAAAACCTCCCTGCACTGCCAGAAGCCACCACAGCAGCATGAAACACAAACTCAAACATATTGAAATGGGCCACTCCTAAGGGAGAACGTTTGTGGTCACGCCCATCATTGGCATTTCTGTTTCTGTAAATTCAGCAGGAAGGAAGGGTGAACCATTTTGGAAAAAGTTACCAAAAACTCCCACCTCCCAACCTTTGCCCATCCCTAAGATTATCCTGGACCAAACTATTTCCAAAGTTAGAAAATATCTGGTTCCTACAGGCTGTGAGATGGTAAGTATACTTCCAACTAATCTCTCCCCCCAATTCACCTGCTGTGGATGCTCTTCTGAGGCCTGCGAGCTTCCTTCAGGGGACATAACAATGGGCCTACTCATACCTCAAACCCCTACATTGGTATCTGAAGTCAACCACATCAGGATTTAGTAAGTTCTCGCTGAGGCCTGCTGTTCTCTCTCTTTATGTGTAAAACGTATTCTGGATTTTCCAGCTCACATAGTCCTGAGAAATGCGTTTCCTCTTTTCCAACCTCTCCCCATTCATGCAAGATTAGTGGCCAGAAAAAAAAATCTGCTTAATAATCCCATGGGCCTTTCAATTCACTAACTGTGTCACTCACCTCAGGGCAGAAAGCCTCATGTATGCCCTCTGCACCTGTTAATCCACACATTAAGAGCCAGATCCTGAAGTCCTAATTTAGGTTAACTCAGTCAAAACTGTACTGATTTCTGTAGGACCAGGATCAAACCCAGTTTCCAGCCTAAAATACTCAGGCTGGTTGCTGGGGAGATCCATGATAGAGGGAAAGCTGGGGAGGAATCTTCCTTTGAAGGTCAAAGACTTGACCACTGTGGAAACTACTCTCTGGAAACCCTCCAGTTCAACCCTCACCCATCCCACTGCCTATTACATTCCTAACTCCAAAAACCCTGACAGGGTTCTGTGCCATACAGAAGGAATAGTCCCTGCCTCCTAAAACCTGCACTCACCAGAGGAACCACACTATTTCAACTGCCAGAACCTCTCTGCCGCTACAGAAAGGGATGCCCCCCATTGAGCAAAATGAAGGGATCACATGAGGGCAGCATGACACTAAAAACCAGAAGGAGTCGTTCCATTATATAATGACTGAAGACTCTTCCTCTTGGTTTTACAGAGACTTTGTGAAGTCAATTTAGAAGCAAATTTCAGTTTTTCAAAAGCAAGCTTTTACAAAAACCTAGCATCACTAGAAATATCCCTGTGTCTTTGTGTATATTTCAATGGAGACAGGTTGTTAATGATTTCTTTCACCTTTCCATTACCTACTGGGCTTTCCAAACCCATTGAGAGAGTATGGGGGAGAGGGAGAATAGGATTTGTCCCAAATGCACACATTAATATTAGAGCTGTAGAAAGTATGTATGTTTTGGCTTCTATGCCACTGTATATATATTTTCATATGTGTCCAGTCACTCCCAATGGATCAGTGTCTGACTTTGGTTCTCACAGCCTAGTCAAATCCCCAATCTTCAGAATTTTTGGCATAGCCAAAAATGTGTCCCTTACTTCTGTAATCAAACATGCATCCGAATCCACATCTTTTTCTTTGTTACCTCTGCTTCCTAGATATTAATAGAAGAAATGGAAATCGCAATCTTTGCAACTAATATAAAAGATTCAGGGCCAGCTTCTCACCTAGTGTAAATCAGTGTAGTCTATTGAAGTTAATGGAGCTTCACTGATTGACATCATCTGAGGATTACACTTGTTCCTACTGTCTACATTCCAGTGTTTTATGCCATTTAACTATAATACTTCACCTGATCAGGGCCCTGTATGGCCTGAGAGCAGCCTTTCCTTCTAAAACTAGATACAGTTGATATATTAGGGGGTAAACATTTTGGATTATGCTGGGACTTTTAAACCACAGCCTGTATCGGGATGTGATGGAGGGGAGGGAAAGGTCTGTACATCAGCAGCAGCTCTAGGCATTTAAAGGCATTAGCAGGCAGCTGTATGTTATTCCTTTACATCTTTGCTTTGTTTTAGAACTTGTCATTTAGGAGGCTGCTTTGCTAACTTTATTATTTCTACAGTTTTTACCTTGTTTTGTTATATTTTATAGTGACCCTGTCTCCACTGGTGGTGAGGGCAAAGGAAGGTTTGGTGCCAATTCAGTGAGTCAGGCATATCCGCAATTCCCATTTACTTCAATGGCAGTTCCATGCACAAAAAGAACAGGAGTACTTGTGGCACCTAGAGACTAACAAATTTATTTCCCCATACTCTCTCAATGGGTTTGGAAAGCCCAGTAGGTAATGGAAAGGTGAAAGAAATCATTAACAACCTGTCTCCATTGAAATATACTTCTTTCTTATAGCTTTCGTGGGCTACAGCCCATTTCTTCGGATGCATAGAATGGAACATATATTGAGGAGATATATATACACATACAGAGAGCATGAAAAGGTGGGAGTTGTCTTACCAACTCTGGGAGGCCAATTAAGTAAGAGAAAAAAATATTTTTGAAGTGATAATCAAGATAGCCCAGTACAGACAGTTTGATAAGAAGTGTGAGAGTACTTACATGTGGAGATAGAGTCAATGTTTGTAATGGCTCAGCCATTCCCAGTCTCTATTTAAGCCTAAGTTGATCCTTCCATGCACAGAGGTCATGCAGGAGTAGGCCAAACCCAGCAGGCCTTACGCAGATACAACAAGAATTTTCCTTGAGTGAGATTCTCCAAGTTTGACCCTTCATGATTTAAAAACTAGTGTCTCTGTAACATCATCATTTGACTTTGAAGATAACTTCCATGATTTGCCTGAGAATATGTGTTACAACTCTGGAAATTGTTTAGGCCAATACCAACTCTGTCTTAGCAAAGATGTTATATATATGTAATTTAACTTTCTTTTGTTTGTCTAGGGCAACAGTGACATCTGGTGCCCACTTTCATTCAGCAGGAATAGTACAGTATTTCCATACCTCTCCTCTTTCAAACTCTAGTCATTTGAATAGGGTTACCATATTTAAAAATTAAAAAGAGAGGACACTCCACGGGGCCCTGGCCCAGCTCCTTCCTCACCCCCAACCCTGCCCCAACTCCGCCCCTTCCGTGCCCCAACTCCACCCCTTCCCCAAAGTCCCCGCCCCAATTCCGCCCCCTCCCCTGAGCGCCCCGCACTCCCCCTCCTCCCTCCCAGCCACGCGAAACAGCTGTCCGAGCGCTACCGGCTTCACAGTTTGCCGGGTAGCCTCTGGACCTCCAGACCCTGCGCCCCCGG